ACCGATGAATCAACACGCAGTAATAGTCTTGGTTGACTCGACCCTTCACGGGAGAGGTGTGTAAGTACAAGTCTATAGGACGGAGGAATTTACATGTGCCATTTCATCTAATACCGTTGGCCAAAGCATGTGCTAGATACGCCGTACACTTGAATGGCTCGCAGATTACGGCATCGATACTTCTTCATGTTTTAGGTGCTCAGAGCATATATTTATTATGTTATGTTTCATCGGTATGTCTGAAATTCAAATTTGTGTCTCAAAATGGCTGAGACACATAAACATACACAATAGAACAAAGGCCCAAAAGAACGAGCGTACACTCGCGTCATCCTTGGTAATTACCTAATAATTGGTCGTTTCTGGTGATCCATCTTCCGTGACCGAACTCTTGTAGTGTCTAACTGTAGGGCAAAGATCATTAAAATATACGACAAGATGGAAGGATCTGGTGTTCAGACGTGTTCAGAGCACATTGGGACAATTATTCGAAAGACACAGAGCAGCTCGTCCTGTAGTGGTACATGCAAATTTCTAGACTTAGATTGGATTTTTCAATGAGGAAACAGTCGCTCCGGCATTTGGATCAACAACCATCAGGCCCCTCTGTCCCTCCCCACCCCCAGACCCGTACTAGCTGTGATGATGCATCCATTACAACATGAACCTCTTGCGGTATGTAGATGATGTGTACACAAAATTGCTGGAAAGCACCATGGAAAGATGCATGGGGTGGGGAAGCTGGCAATGATTAACACAGTAGAATGGGACCAATATCATTGTTACAACAACGTATTGTACAGTACGCTACATGTGTAGGTAGATATTTTTGACTAGGTAGGTAGGTACCCGGTCGGGCCTAACGGATCTCAATAGATGGGCAGCGGGCGCGATCGTCATGGCTAGACTACATCGAGCCTTCGAGAAGGCATCATGGAAGCATGTTCAACGCCGGGACCTCATTGAAACTATATTGGCAATTTCGTCAAGGCAATAGCTCTCCGATGGGCGCGTCCACCAGTCAATGACTTGCCCTACTATCATCACCGTAGTTGTAGGTATTGCTGGCGGCTGCTGGGTCCACCCAGTCTACAAGTACGCTCTTTTTGCTGATTGACGATGTTGCGGATCACTAGTAATTAATGGCCGCTGCTCTTCATCAGCTTCACTTCAAACAGTATCAACCAATGTCCAAATATTCCATGTACTCGATAGGAACTGCCTGGCTAGATTGTCAATCGCTTGAGGTCCACCATGCGTATACTTTCCCCTCTTCCATCCCTCCCGATAACTCCGCTCACTTCGCGGTTTCCGGTCGCCAATCGCTGCCGGAATCGTACCTAGTCTGGCAGTCAGCATGTCAGGTCCCTACCTTAGTCGCAAGTCCAAGAGGGCGGGTAAGGTATTCAGAGCTCCCCGAGGCGACGGCGCGGTTGCTGGACGCAATGGAACGAACCTCCGGGCCTCTCTGCGATTATCTCACCTGCCCTCCCCTTTTGCTGTGTATATTGCGTATACGTGTTGGAACATGGTATGCTGCGGCGTCAGGTTTTTGCCGTATCACGGCCAACGAAGACAAGCATGAAGGAAGAGCCAGACAAGCACACAGATAGATCGAGGAAGAGCCAAGTTGCGGCCGATCCTTTCCAGGACTCTGTCAATATTGATGTAAATCAGCGATTTCGCCGTACCCACATCAGCCCAATCCATGTGCCTGTAGCCAAATCTACCCACCTTGCAAGGTTTCCCAGCTGCTCACGCGGTGCGTGGAGTGCGTGGTCGTTCACTGCCCTCCCACTGCTCAGTGCCTCCAGGTACAAGAAGTGCCCAGTGCTGCCTGGGGCCTGCCTGGTTCGTGCCTCAGGGTATACTCCCTAACCGATCGATGTTATGTAGGTGGGCTGGCGAGATGTGGTTGTCGAACAATTACTCATTATGTGTAAATCAGTCTCAGTCCCTTCATATGCGCATTTCTCAGAGGAGATGCTCGTCCATGCTTGATGGCACAGCCTTTCTTCACGATGATTCAACGACTATGTATAGTGTACAGAGTACAGTGTAGCCCGTGCTTGATGTAGTGCAGTGTTTGCACTGCACATACCAACATATATTTGATCGTGTGCTCGTTGTCTCCGATGTGTATTTCGAACATATCCGATGATGTATCATCTAGATTTGTAGCTATCTTTTTAGAACAAGCCATGTAGTTTACATAGGTCCTGACAAACCTATCAGGTAGTTGCCTATCTTGTCTACACAAGAACCAGACCTTGGCTGTCTTTTTTATTTTTTTTTATTTTTTTTTTCCCTCTCTCCCCTTCCTCCTCCGTTTGCCACCCCTTCTGATTGAAGGAGTGCTGGACTTGATCGTCGTTTGTATCGCCGACTATTGCACATCGTCTTGTCCTAATGACGATGGGAGCACATCACATTCGTTTTTGACCGAGTCGCTCGATGATGTTATGTAAGGGCAACCCGCACTACTGCACAGCGGCACAGCGGGTCGACAAATGGTGCGCATCCGTAACATTTATTCTCTGTCGCCACCTACGCAAACCCTACTGCCGACGTTCCTACTGCCATACATGACCGATGTTACTCTTCTCTCTCCCAACATCTCTCGCATTGATAGGCCAAAGTTGTCTGCCAAGCGGCAGCCTAACTTGCAATACATGACTGATAACCATAGGTGAGTATACCTAGATAGTGTGTGTTCTTCGAAGTAGCTTGTACAGGCTGCAGAAAGAGGAAAGAGCATGTATGTGTCAAACGTGCACATCTGAAAGCGTGCAGCCATGATTTTCGTGGCTTGCATTTTTATATGCGTGTATATATATGGTATCATGTCAGATTGAAGGCAGGACGCAGAAATAAAACATGAAGCAGCAGATACGGGGGACACGGCATACGTAACTGCTCTCAGCTGCAGTCTGTTTTGCACCACCACTGTGACTACTACTGTACTTCTACAGGAAGACACACGGCAGACACAAGAGAGTGTGTGTGTGAGAGAGAGAGGGGAC